CGAGTAGGATTGCGTAATCAGCTCACCTGACGACGGTGTCCGTGGATTGCCACTTGCCGCTTCGCACACTCGCACCGGAATAAAACGATGATAAAATAGGATCCAGGATCTTTTCCCTCTCTTTTCTTATGCGGCTGCGCCATAAATTGCCACTTTACCACATAAATGGCGCATTCCCCCCACAACGTCCTTCCCGCCTTTTTCATCAACGACCCGAGCTCCATCGCGTACGCCTCGTCGCATCCCATTTCATATTCAGCTGATCGGGTTGCTAGGCAAACGCAGCGCTCGCTGTACTTTTTTGTTATCTTTGAGGTCCTCGACGCCATGAACTGCGTCGCTCAAGGCATCCTTCGCGGCATGGGTCGCCAAGCCATCGGTGCGCTTATGCGGAAATGGCACCATAGATTCTCATCGATACTAGGTGCGTATGTGAATGCGATGGCCTACTACGTGGTCGGCATTCCTGTCGCTGGCGTCGTTGGCTTTTACTGCGAGCTCGATGTTCAAGGTCTCTGGATTGGCATCGCCGTCGGCGTCTTCTCCGCCTTCTGCGTCTACTCGTGGACGCTTCAGCACACCAACTGGCGCGCGATGGCCGACAAGGCGGTTGAGCGCATGACAGACTAATGCGACGCAACCGCAACATAGATTTTTCACCGGCAGCACCATGTTCTTATTGTAAAACTTGGTGATGCACGTGGCCCGAAGCTCTTCGGTCTGGCGACAGGATCGTTGAGATCACTGCCGAAGACCGGTGGCGATTTGCAGCCGCCCTACCATGCGATCCAACGACACCAACACTCAAAGGTCGGTATGGGTGATGGTCCAAATTCCAGACGCTGACCGTCGACGTTGCTCTTGATTGGACACCACTGGCTGCCATCGACAATTGTCGCCCAGTACTTTGTTCTTGGTTGAAGACTATCCACCGGTCCGCTTTACAATAACGCTCATCGCACCTACTTATTGCAACCCCGACAGCTGAGGTACATGGATGCGCCAGCAGAACTGGTAGGACTTGATAGGTAGGACTTTAAAGAGCCCCGTCTAGGGTCCTTGCAGCCCTTTCTGTGCGATAGAGGTGACAAGCGTGGCTTGAAATGATAATGCCACACGCAAAGTCGAGATGGTCCATGGCCACGAGAGGCCAAGACCACGTGGGCAACGGACCGATACAAAATATCAAGCAAAACTTGGCCAAAGCGTGTGCTCGCCAGCTCCAACACTGGGTTTTGTGAACCGATTTCAGCACAGGACGGCAGTTCACCTTGGAGAATGTCGACTGGTACATGCAAGAGAAAGCAGCTGAATATATCGGATATCAAGTGACCTTGCTATGCCGCTCGTTGATTGGCTAAAATTCCATCCAAAATAGAAATCGCAATCGCATTTTTCGCCAAGCCATCATGGGGAACACGATCGCGCAGTTGGCGCAAGACCACAAATGGACCGAAGTCGTCGAACGCATCGAGGCCCACGCCGTCGAGGACATCAACGTGACGGCTGGCGGTGTACGATGTCCGCTTAGGCATGCTCCGTGCTTACATGGCGTAGCTGGACTGGACGACGCTGTCACTCGCCGCCTGGGATGGCCAACTCGACGTTGTGCGCTTGCTTCTACGCTATAAGCACATTCGCGTGGACCAGCCCAACCTCGTACACTTCTAGAGGTTCACGCTTCGTGACTCTAGATGCCGCCTTGAATAGGATGGCATGACACCACTGCATGAGGCCGCCAAGCACGGCCACCTCGAGATCGCCCGCGCTCTCATTGATGCCGGCGCCAACCCCCACGCGACCAACAACGTACCGCTACATGGCCGCTATGGATATACCATCAACGGCGTGCGTGTAGGAGGGCAACAAGCCGCTGGCGTTCGCAAGCGGCAGCCAAATGAACGAATTCTTGACGATGTGCATGCTGCCCGTTGGCGTTTGCGCAGAGCGCCACGAGTGGCACGAGGTCAAGCGCCGCGTGACGCGTCGGCTGCTCTCGGATGTCAACGCTAGCTTTGGCGAGGTTGGTGTGCGTCCACAATACCTCGCTTATGATGGAACGGGCGTAGCGCGGCTGGTGCTTGCTCTCATACTGCGCCATCCACGACCAAGTCGAGCTCGTGGACCTCCTAGTGCGCTACAAGAACATCTGCATCGACCATGCCAATATGGTGCGTTGCCTGTGTATGCTTATTGTCGTAGCGGCCAAGGACGTTGTTGATACTGTAGGATGGCATGACAGCGTTACACGAAGCGGCCAAGCACAACCATTTGCAAGTTCTCTCCATCTTGATGCGTGCAGGCGCCGATCCATCGCTGCTCAACAAGGTACGAGGTCAAGGACGGGAGACGAATTCAAGGTGCGAGTGTAGAACGGCGAGACACCTGCGGACTTGACGACAATGGACGGGCGCGCGCTTCTTCAGCTGCCGCAGCCAGTCGCCGCGGTGCCCGCCGAGGTGCACCGCTGCCCCCACTGCACGTACGAAAATCCTCGTCGCGACGGAGCGTGCGCCATGTGCAAGATGGACATGCAGACGTCGGAAGACGCCGTGGCCGCGCTCATGGAGCGGATCGCGCTCATGGAGGAAGCCACGCTCTGCGCGATTTGCGAGGAGCGGCCGAAGGACACTGTGTTTACGTGCGGCCACGAGACGTGCATGACGTGTGCGCAGCGCATGACGAGCTGCCCCAACTGCCGCGAACCCATCACGGCGCGCATTCGCCGCTTTGTGTGAGCTTGCATGTTATTTCTGCACCTCTCCAAGGATAATCGTGCGTCTTCCTGTCGATGTTGGTGTACTTTTGTCGTACGAAAGGATCGGTCGGTGCCTTTGTCGTAGGAGAAGTACTTACTTGGTCGATCGACGTCTCGGCAGCCTTGCAGACGCTGTCGTATCACACTAAGATGGTCGCTTTTTTAGCGACAGGGGGTGCTTGAAAGCCGCCGAGATAGGTGCAACGATCGAGCGACACCTGTTGCGATCTCCAGGAAATGACGATATCCTCTTCTTGGCAAGTTGAAGCCAGTGCCAAATGAAACTGCCTCTCTCTCATCTTGGTCTCTGGCGCCGGCCACAGAATGGTGCCAGAAGCCAAACGGCCGCAGATGCCAATTCGGCCTGGCCATGAGCCTCTCGTCCGGGTCTGCGGCTTTGATCGACACGACGATCGTCGCGCCCGTCAGCGACAACGTCGTGGTCTACAGCCTCGTCATCTCGGCCAACCTCGTCCTCGTCCTGCTGGTCTTTGGCATGATCTACATGCGACGCGTGGCCAACAAACCGAATGAGCGCCCGATGGCGCCCACCGACCCCAACGACGACGACGACCGGTCGAGCATCGGCGATGGCATGAGCAGCGTCGTGCTCCTCGAGGTGCTCACGCCCTGCGACCACATCGTGACGAGCGCTTATAGCTCCGTGGAGCCACCCGTGAGCATCCACATGACCAAGCTCAGCATGCTTAGCGAGGGCCGCGAAACCAACGTCGATCAGCTTAGTACGTACGGCGGGGGCGACGACGAGGATGACGCAGACGTCATCGTGCTCTCGCGCGACGGCATCCCGTCCAAAGTTCTCTCTCGCTGGTCTGCGTTTCACTACCGCCCTGGTGACGCCGCGGCCGAAGATGAGGCCAATCTACACTGCGCGCCCCACCGCACGACGTATCCGAATCCCTGGACATCAAGCTGGTCCGTGCCGCCGCTTATGGAGCCCAAGCCGCACGCATACGCGCAGCAGCCAACGATGACGGAGCGCGCAGAGCATGACATGATTCGCTTGAGCGCCCAGTCATCTTGGTCTCAGTGGCACAGCGGTTGCTCGTACGGCCAAGAGAGCGAGCTCTCGATCGGCCTTTCGGAAGACGACGACGGCAGTGCGTCGTCGTTGAATGACGACCGCATTAGCTTCGACTCGGCAGCCCTCGAGATGCACCTCGCGTCGGCAGCGTGACCGCTGCATCATATTTAACATCTTAACTTAGTCACCGCTCCAAGCTATCCCACTAGATCCGTCGCGCATGACTTACGCACTTGTGACATTGGTCCATCCAGCATTTTAGTCCGTCCTGCAATGCAAGACGCGACTGCTATTAATAGTACCGATCGCGCGGTCGCATGGCGATCCATCGCACCCATGCGCTGAACGCACGTCGTTGGCGTTGGCGACTGTCGTGAGCTTTGGCCACTCCATAGACACCATCCAGCTCCTTGATTGCGGCGCGCCGAGCAAGAACATCTTCCCTCGAGTCAACGACGTGCGTAGCGGCGCGTTCTTTCCATTGCCTGCGCTCAAAGGTGTAGTGCTGCCACGCACGCCAGAGACCACGCGACACGAAGCTGCGTGGCCGGCGCTGGAACTGGACATATCGTTGCCACTGGCCGCGACCGCCGCGAAACAACACCGAGGTAAGATAGCGTCGGAATTGCCGCTGGATCCGCACTGCACACAGCGTTGGCGACGGTGTTTGTGTCGCTGCCGACCGTGCGATCGTCTTGTCCGTGTTGGTACCCACCTCACTACACGGAGGTGGAGCACTCGGAGATGGCAATGCGGCGACACGCGACTCGAGCTCAGGCAGCGTGATGGGTGCGTCGAGAAGCACGAGCAGCTCCGCGTAGCTAGTTTCAAGCGCCGGCAGGTCAATGACCGGTGGCGCATATCGGCCCGCAAGGTCAGCGTCGAGCGCCTGGTAGAGGGAGCGCAAAAGCGCACCGGCGTCGCCTTCGCTTGGTTCTCTGCAATCGCTCGGGTCGCAGCCGCCATGATGGTGTCGTCTGGTGGTTCGAAGCGGCGCCGTACGCTTGAGGAACCTGCGCTTGGCCCGGTCAATGGCCGGAAAGGCCACCTCGTCCATGGAGTAAGATCGAAAATCCAAACGTTGGCCAATGGGTGGGCTGACCTTGGTGGATTTCATCCAATCATAGTGTCCGAAGCGATCTTGGTAGCTTTGACAGTCGAACGAGCCTCTTTTACAAGGGAACGAGCATCACCACCTCTGTGACGACTGCTGACTCGCATATCCAGCGAGCGAAGAGCTACTCGTATATCCGGGACGATCGTGCTGTACAACCAACGGCGCTGCACGGCGAGCATCATTCTTGCGCTGGGATGGGATAAACACACATTCTTGCTTGGGACAAACAAGGCAAAAGTATCATGTGCCCAAAACAATCAAGTCGGAGGACTTTGCCTTCCTCGCCATCTCACAGTATGACGATGGCGCCAGCGACGATCGCAGCCCTCGCAGAGAGCGGAGCATGGCCGCGTGTCGAGGCGTGGCTGCGCAACCATACGCTCGGCGACGTCAACGCCACGGCCGGCCTCGTACTTACCGCACCTCATCTGTCCTCTTCGACTCTCACCACGACTGTAGCACGACGCCACTGCGCTCTCGTTCGCGGTCCAGTACGGGCAAGCTGACGTGCTTGAGCAGCT